CTGGGGAGCAGGGCCTATGCTGATTGTTGAAACTGGCTTGGGGTGACTGTTTCCAATAAAAGCTCTTTCAGGAAGGTGGCTGCTGGCCTGGACTTTGCTTTATTTGGGGTTTAAATAGCAGCTGGCAGCTGGGTCTGTTAACTTGAAAGCAAAAGTGACGGTGGAAGGTCTGATGGGTTTTTCGTCTCCGTGACTGTTTCCAATAAAAGCTCTTTCAGGAAGGTGGCTGCTGGCCTGGACTTTGCTTTATTTGGGGTTTAAATAGCAGCTGGCAGCTGGGTCTGTTAACTTGAAAGCAAAAGTGACGGTGGAAGGTCTGATGGGTTTTTCGTCTCCTGTCAAAAATGATGAGTGAGCTTTTCAGCTGGGGTGGGGAATCTCGTGCCTGGGGGCCGGAGGCAGCCTCCAGCTTGTCTGGATCCAACCCTCAGGGCTCCCCCCAACATTGGGGAACTCATGCTGGCACTGCAGCTCCCCCGCCATTGCCCTACAGGACTGGAGCACACAAAATCTGCTAGCCAGGCCCCCCTAAACTCTAGTGTGGGAGAGGAATGTGGGGAATGTCTTTCTCCTCAATCAATTTTTGTTTTTTGTTTTTTTCTTTGCTTTTCACTTGTGTGTGGCCCTCAACTGATTTTTCTGTGCATCAGCAGCCTCTGACCTGAAACAGGTTCCCCACACCTGTTTTAGCCATGTCTAAGCTAAGAGTGCCTTACTGGTGTATGGATACCGGTATACTATACCAGCAATGTGCTGCCAGTGTGATTCAGTTTATACTGGTCTAGCTTATTCCACTCACACTCGGACAAAACCGGTAAGCATGCAGTTACTTCAAGTATCTGCCTTAAGGGCTTCTTCCAGGACACTGGTTAGTCAAGGATCACACCTCTGTCCAACATGGCTATGCTGGCAGAAGCCTATAGTGTAGAGAGGGTCTCTGGGGAAAAAAAGTATATCCTGCGGGAGTTTCTGGGCACTGGTGATAGCGTTATATGTTCTCATAGTTCAGTAAAAGCAGGGGGGGCTATTCTGTATTGAAAAAGCAGAAGTAGGATTTGAAACTTTCCTGAAGTTTAGTGTAAGGATGCAAAATCCTTTTTAATTCGTTAACCAGTTAAATGTTAAGCTTAACTGTTAACTGATTAAATGGGGGTGGGCGGGCTGGAGCGGCCCATGGGTAGGGGCTGTGTCAGGCTGGTTGCTTCCACCCCATGCTGGCCCCCGTGGGCTGGGAGCCGGCAGCCAGCCCTTCACCTGTGACAGGCCCTGGCCTGCTCCCAGGCAACAGATAACTGTTACCCAGAAAGCTTTGTCCATTAAGGTGGGCTTAAATTTGGGTTCCCCACTCCTGGGATCATGTAGTACTTATTGTTGCCATGCAGTGAAGTCTGAGAACCTCTGCTGTAGTTAACAAAGCTGATTTATTTAATGTCTCTGGATGTGCTATCATTTAATTCCATTCAGTGCGAGGCTGAGCAGACTTCCTCTGTGCTGAGGAGCAAGTAGACTTGCCAATGGGTATAAGTATCTTACTGATTGATTAAGTTATTCAATTATAGGTGGATTTCTACTTAAAATAGGTAAGGGTTAACGTTCATTGCCGGGGGGGGGAGCACATGGGGAAACCTGTCCTGTTGCTGCACATGCTTTGTCTATCTTTAGTGGATAGGGGACTTTGGTTGCTGGTAGGGATGTGAACAGGTAACTGGTGAACCAGTTCCCAGGGAGCAGCCCATGGGAGAAGGGCTGCTCCAGCCCCACCTGGCCCCAACGGGGGTGGGGTGGCAGGGACTGGGAGCAGGAGCCCTGCAGGCTGGAGGCTGCTTTAGCTGGGCTAGAGCGATTTCCCCCACCCAGGATCCTGCTTAGTTGGTTAAATGTTACGTTAACCGTTCCTGGTGTTAGTTGTCATTGACGGGTGTGACCCCAAGTCATGAGTTTGACATGAAACTTTCACCTATTTTCTTCCCACTTTGGAGATCAACTTGTCCCACTCTGCTCTGCTTGGTGCTTAGCAGGGTTACTTTTGCAGGTGACTGTTGTTTTTTTCTGGCATCTTATTTAAATTTAGACTCTGCAAAGTTAAATTGAATCTTTCTCTGCTCCCACGCTAACTGCCTGATCATCTGTGCAGAACTTCTTCTAACGCTGAACTAAGTCTTTTATTGTTAACCGGGTCGAGAAGTATAAGAGCCAGCGATATCCAGGGTATGGTGGGAAGTGTGATAGTGGACTGGCACACGACTCCCAGTGCGGTCTTCCTGAATTATTTCCAGCTCTGATATTAATGTTGGGCAAAGGATTCTGCCTCTTGCGCGCAGTTTCCCATCTCTGAAATGGTCGTATGTGTACCGAGCAGGGGTCGGGCTAGATTGTCAAGTGTCTTCTGCCTAGGCCACAGGTGGGCAATAATTTTTGATAGGGGAGGGGCACGCCATGATTTTGGTAAGTGGTCAAGGGCCGCACTTTCCTATGGAGTAAGTGGAGGTTGGGTGCAGAAGGGAGCTCAGAGTAGGGATGTAAGCAACTAATCGACAAGCTTATGGTTATTGGATAGTTGATTAGTGATGTGACTAGTTGCTTTCCCCCACTTGCTGCCTCTATCAGAGAGAGGCAGCAACTGAGGGGAGCAGGAGTCGGTGTTGTGGGGAGCCAGCTTAAAAGCTGGTTTCCCTCCCAGCACCATCTCCATGAGGAACAGGGGAGGTAGAGGCACAGCGGGGAACGGCATGAGTTGGGACTGAAGAAGCACCTGGAGTGTGGGGCACTTCCCCATGTTCCCTGTGGGGCTTCCTTTTGAAATGTACAAGAGCCTCACTAGGGCTCTAGTACATTTCAAAAGCTGAGGCTCTTCAGGGAACCAGCAGGAGTCCTCCGCTGGCCCCACACTCCCTGTGGGGCTTTCATTTTTGAACAGTAGCAAGAGCCCGGCAGTTGCTGCAGTTCAAAGACGGAGGCGCCCTTATAGACTAATCATATAGCTGATGGAAATCCTCTCCACTATTTGATTAATCTAAATGTAACATCCCTAGTAGGGGATTTGGGTGCAGGACAGGATGTGGGGTCTGAGAAGGAGTTTGGAGGAAGGAGGGTACAGGATGTGGGGTCTGAGAAGGAGTTTGGGGGAAGGAGGGTGTTGTGACCTGGCACGGGATTGGGATGCAGGATCTGGGAGAGGGTGTAGGTGCAGGAGAGAATTCTGGCCTGGGGGAGGGGGCAGAGCTGGCCAAGCGCCAGAGTTCACTGTCGAGGGCCGGTTAACCAGTAGGTCTCGGGCTTACCAGTATGCTTACTGGTGAACTGTTTAACATCTCTATCTTCACTGTTGTATTCAAGGTGAGTACATCACTGTAGTATCTGAGTGCTCACAGTCATTAATGTTCACCCTCATAGCACCCCTGTGAGGCAGGGCCATGCTAGTGTCCTCATTTCACAGGTGGGAAACTGAGGCAGGGAGAAGTGACTTGCCCAGACTCTCACATGGACTCTGGCAGAACTGGGTATTGAAGGCTTGAATTATAGGGCAGAGCCCTAACCAGTGGACCACCCTTCCCCGTATAGATGGCCGTATTTTACTTAGCAGAACCTTGCTGTTTGCCCTGTTGCTCATTAAACGGAACCATTTTTTTCCTGCCAATTTTTTTTTCCCAGGAGAAATAAGAGCAAAAAGTTCTGAGACACACACAAAATGGCTGACAAGCGACGCCTTGCGTATTCCATCATCCAGTTCCTACATGACCAGCTACAGAATGGGGGTCTCTCTCCCGATGCCCAGGAGAGCTTGGAAGGTAGGTAGGTGGGTGGGCTCCTTCCCTGTTCATGCCTTCTGGAGCAGAGCTGCTTGACCTTAGATGATCAATCCCTCTTACCTGTGCAGTTCCTGTGGTTCTGCAGTACCCCACCCTTCCTAATTGTCCAAGTGCAAGCTTGTCCCGTGCAAACTACTGGTGAGAAGCTCTGGCAAACGTTAAGCAGTCAGACAGGAGAACAACTTTCCTGCCAGCCTCTGCCAGGAGAAGCACAGGCTAACCTAGGGAAGGAATAGATATATAGTAACTGAAAGACTTACCTGACGTTGCCTGTGTCCGGAGCTGGCCTAGGTGGGTGGGGCCCATGCAGCCTGCCCAGGCTTCCACGGAGGTCATGCAGCCTGGGCCTGGGCTGGCCTGGAGTGAGAGGAAGCGCATGCAAGCCACCCACTGGCTTCTGCCTGGGGGTGGCAAGGGCCACGTGGCGCAGCATGGCAGTGGCTGCTCCCTGGGGTTGGACAGTAGAAAACTGTCCTACCTGTCAGGGAGGTTAAACACTGAAATAAATTGCTTAGGGAGGTTGTTGAATCTCCATCACTGAAGAGATTTAAGAGCAGGTTAGACAGACACCTGGCAGGGAAGATCTCTAGATGGTGCTTGGTCCTTCTGGGAGGGCAGGGGACTGGATTTTGACAACTTCTCGATGGCCCTTCCAGTTCTAGGATTCTAGGATTCCGTTGTCCTGGTACAACCAAACCCTGGCCTTGCTTTAAGTTAGAGGAAGAGGACACTGCCTACTGAATTTGGTGGGCCTAGTTCTTACCATTTGGGAGGAGTTCTTAACCAAACGGACTCAGATGGGCAAACAGATACAGGGAAACTGGAAGTGCCAGGAAAGGGACTGTTTTCCATAACCCGGAAAGGGGAGGAAGGCTGGGCTGTTCGGAGGGCCACTGTATTCATAGTGGCCACTGGGGGTAGCGAGGCTACAAGAGAAGGCCATCCTGTAGTCCATGGGTTCCCAAACCGGGGGCGTGAAGAAATTCCGGGGGGGGGCGAGGCGACCCAGCCCCCTCCCCCCATCAAGTTTTGCTTCCCTGGTCAGTTCCTTTTTTTTTTTTTTCTTCAACCAGTTTTGCTGCTATTTGGGGCAGAGGGGGTGTGAGGGTTTCTCAAAAATCAAAAAGGGGGCGTGATGCCGAAAAGTTTGGGAACCACTGCTGTAGACTGTCTGCTAGAGGCAGCTGCACCACTAAGGGAGTGGCCAGCCAGGGCGGGGCTCTGCCAGCCCACTGGTTAAGTAGCCTCCCTGCCCCAAACCCTTTCCCCCCCAGCTCGGCCTTTGGCTAGAAGTTCAGACGCCACTGGAAGGAGGGAATGAGACAAACTGGTCTTTAGAGGAATGTTAATTGTCAACCTTCCTTCCCACTCAGTCGCGATCCAGTGCCTGGAAACCGCCTTTGGCGTATCCATGGAAGACCAAGATCTGGTCGTGTCTCAAACTCTCCCTGAAATTTTCGAAGCTGCTACAGGAAAGGTTTGTGTCCTACCGACTTCTCTGATCTACTAATGAAAATCAATGTCTAAGCAACATCAGGGCATTTATTAATAATATTGTAGACCCGAGACTTCAACTACAACAGGGGACAACTACCCATTGTGCTTAACTTTACAGCTGTGTCACCCTGTGGGGGGAGTTGAAAGGTGGGACTATTTAACCCCTCGTGGACATTGGAGCCTTGGTTTATAGTAAATATCGATGCTAGAGCATAACTTCCTTATTCTTCTTGGATTTTATAAGGAGCCTCATTACGTCAGAACAAATTCTGAGCCAGTCACCCCCTCGGAAGAAGACATGGCTGAAGCTGAAAGACTGAAGACTGAAGGTAACCACATACTGGACTGATGTATTGACAAGGGAAAGACTACATCAGGGGATGCCTGGATCCGTCCCCCAAGGCTCAGCCCCCCCTCCCTCCCAGCATTGGGGAGCTTGCGCTGATGCTCCTGCCACACCTCTGCCCGCTGCAGGGCTGGTGCACACACAATCTGTTAGGCTGCCCCCCCCCAGGCTCTGGTGGTCAAGGGGAATGTGGGGAGGGTCTTGCTCCACAGCTGTGGGCCACGTTAGTGAGGGGTATTTTTGCTTCTCGCTTGTGTGCGGCCCCTGACTGATTTTTCTGTGGATCAGCGGCCCCGACACAAAAAGGGTCCCCCACCCCTGGCTTGCAGTGCAGGCATCTAACGATGCAGGAAGCAGGCTTATCTCACAGAGTGTCTGCATGTCTACGCAGCGAGAAGGGAGAGGAAGCATGCGGGCTGATGTAATTAGGAGCAGTGGGGTGTAATTAAGAACCGTTTCATTTCTGTGTATGTATGTCCACAGGAGTCAGAGAATGCTCCGCCCATGTGGCAGTTCACCCGTTTTTATGCTCAGATTGAAGAGCATGCCTTTCAGCCCCCAGCACTGCTGCTGAAGGGCGCTAGGCCGTTGCTCAGACTATAGGTATAAGAACTGCTTATTTTTTCTTGACTGTCACCCCTTTCCCTGCAATGTCAAGGAAAAGACAGTAAAACGCTCCCCATTCTGCAGCACCCCTAGTGGCCAGTCAGAGCGCTGCTGAATCTGTGGCTATAGACTGAAAGCTGTTGCAGCATGGGGTCCCAAATTAGGGGGCTTGCCCCCCTGGGGGGCTGTGAAGAAATTCCAGGGGGGGTGCGAGGCGACCCAGCCTTCCCTCCTTATAAAGTTCTTTTTGGGGGACTTGGAAGATGCAGAAGAGAAATTAATGGAGGAGCCTACAGGATTAACCTGGGAGCCCCATAAAGCCCAGATCCTACAGTTTCCTCGATGGAGATTTCGTCCTGCAGAGTTCGCTGAGCAGGTCTCCCAGTTCCTCATACTCTAAGGCCGTGGTCACCAACCAGTAGATCACGATCTACCAGTAGAGCTCAGGGGCTCTAAGAGTAGCTCTTGAGCCCTCTCTGAACTGCACACCTGCGCAGGACATTTACATTAGATTTCCTCATGTAATGTAGGCGGGGCTTCAAGGAAGGGGCGGGGCAGTAGATCTTCGCCTCTTCTGAGACTTAAAAAGTGATCTTGGGTGTAAAAAGGTTGGAGACCACTGCAAAAGGGCGGAGTCCTCAGCCTATCGACACGCTCCTTTCTGCATTATTTTTTTAAGCAGAGGCCAAGGAAAATTGAGGCCTCAGCCCGCTGCTCGAATTGCTTCATCTGTTTGGCTTGTTCCAAAGCTCTTTGTTTTTCTGTGTAGGAAACGAACAAATGAAAGCAGAAAACTTTGAAGGCGCTGTGGCTTTCTACGCAAAAGCAATTGAATTAAATCCATCCAATGCAGTATATTTTTGCAACAGGTACTGGTGCTTAACTCTTTCTTGGCAGGTTTTTACATTCCCATTCTTATATTTTGAGTCTTTCCTTGTTTTTCATTGTTACTCAGCCATCGCGTGGTCGGATGCGTGATTTGTTCTTCGTTTGTTGCCCTTTGTCGTTTGTAAACTTGTCCTTTGTAAACCCGCGTTGACACGTTTTCCTTTGACTTCTGCCTGCCTTGTGGCACGGGCATCTCTAGCTCGGGCTGGCTTCCAAATCCCCGTCCTATTAAGCCCTGGATGAGCTATATTGATACCAAGTAAAACTGACTGGCTCTGCTCAAGTAGCCCTTTCTCACTGAGGCAGACAGCGCAGGTTTGCGTTATTAATGGCCAAAGCAGCAAAACAAGATTTGATCTTGCAGAGACTGAGGACTGAAGAAATGGATTTCAAGAAAGTTGGCCTGCTGTTGTGTGTACAAAACACAAGAAAACTGTAGGTCTGAGCTAATGTTCATTGAAATGAGTGGAAAGACACCCATCGGTTCACTGGCTCAGCCTGTCTGCCCAGCTGATACATACTTGTTTGCAGCTACACAAATGGCCATGCAAATAACCTGTTACAGTAGACTTCCAATAATCTGGCACCTTTGGGACCTAGGTGGTGCCGGATTATCGAATATGCCGGAGTATCAGGGGGTACTACATACTCCCAACCCAATTCCCCTCCACCCCCAACCTTATGCTCGGGTCCTGGAGCCACCGGTACAGACGCACATCCCCCTCCAGGCACTGGGGCACGTGCGCTGAGCGTCCGGCTTTTCAATCAGTTGGCTGGGACGCCGTGCGCAACCCAATTCCCCTCCCCTTCCTCGGAGCCAAACACTTCTCCTCCCTGCTGTAACCCAATCCCACCCCCACCCCACCCCAACCTTATGCTCGGTCCCGGTACAGCCACATGTCTCCCTCCAGGCGCTGGGGTATGTGCGCTGAGCGGCCGGCTTTTCAATCAGCTGGCCGGGACGCCATGAGTAAACCAATCCCCCTCCCCTTCTCCGGAGCCAAACACTTCTCCCTACTGTAACCCACATGAGAGCGGCTGACCTGAGCGGTTCTGGGTTCCATTCTGGTTCCATCAGGAGCACTTGCCATTTTGATGCCGGACTGTCGGGAGTGCCGGACAATTGGGTGCTGGACTATTGGAGTTTTACTGTATTATTATTATTAGCCTCAATAAGCCTCCGTTTTCTTACTCCTGAATTTTCCCTGTATCCGGTGACCATTGAGGGCTTGAGTTTATGAGGTGCTGAGCACCTACAGTAGAAGTGGCAGGACTGAGGCATGAACAAGCATATTCCAGTCATTATATTTTAAAACCCCTTTTTTGCCTCTGCCTGTGTGCGTGGTGGGGGGGGAGGAGGAGAAGAGCACAGAGGAAGCAGAGCCATTATTGTTACCTGAGAAATCAAGGCGTAGAGCTGTGATATTTTTGTACTAAAGATCTACTTCCATCCTGAAAAATACAGATCTACAAACCAGTGAACACTTCTCCATCACTAGTCACTACCACGGGTGGAGCCATGCTCCATGGCACTTTTGAGACAGAAAATAAAGGAGAAGGATACCATGTTTTTCCCTGAAACTACCGGGAGAGCTTAGGATGGCAGTGGGTCGTTACCCAAGTTAGAATCTGAGCTGATGTCAGATTTGAAGTTTAAACCTTCCCTTGGACGTGGAGGAGGGAGCATGAAGGGTGACTTTGACTGGCGTATTCAGGCCCATAAACATTCTGTGTGTTCTTTCCAATCTTTCCAGGGCTGCTGCTTACAGTAAATTGGGAAACTATGCTGGAGCAGTCAGAGACTGCGAAAGAGCTATAGGCATTGATCCGAACTACAGCAAAGCTTATGGCAGAATGGGGTAGGTATTGACAGCTGCTTGTTTATAAAGGCATGGATTTAAAAACGCATGGCGGGTCCTGTGGGGGTGAGAAGGGTAGTGGTGGAATGCGAACTAGGTGATATCCACTGCTTGGGGGGTGTGGATCATGGAAAAATCCACACTTTGATGTGTAACCTTCTATGCAGTCCTTCATTTTGTGTTCTCTCTCAATAGCTTAGCCCTCTCCAGTCTAAACAAACACACAGAGGCTGTTGTTTACTATAAAAAAGCCCTGGAGTTGGATCCAGACAACGAAACGTACAAATCAAACCTTAAAATAGCTGAACAGAAAATGAAAGAAACGCCTAGTCCGGTAAGTTCTTTCCCACCCTGTTTGAGGGCCAAGCCAAGAATTACGCTGGGAGCAGTGTTCTCTGTAAAGCTTGACTCCGGACAGATTCTGATGCCACCTAGCTGATTAGCAGAGCACCCACAGCTATCTTTTTGTTTCTACTGGTGGTGCGCATGCATGTGTCTCGGTGCATGTAAAAATATTGTTCTGCACATGGATGGAAAAAATAGAACATTGGCTCGGGGAGGGGGTTGATAAAGTAATGTCTTCATTGTGCTACTTTACAGTGTTACTGACCAGTTCTAAGTGCTACGTTAACGTGTCTCAGTATCCAAAAAAGATGTTAGCTTGGGGTAGGTCTGGAATAAAGGTGTAATTCAAAAGGTGGCGATGGTGGAGAGGAGTAGGGGGAAAGGCAGTATATAGATCCTATCTCAAGTAACGCAATTCAAACCCGGTTAGAATAACTTTCCTGCAGTGCTGTGAACCCAAACACCACAGCGTTGAGCTTATCGGGAAAATGCCTAGAAAGAACACAACTAAAATGTGGTTTCACTACCCTAAGCAATGTTTCCTCTTTTATTGCACTTTCATTATGAAAATCTTCATGTTGGTCAATTCTTCTTACTGGCAAGGAGGAAGGAGTTCTTTGAAGTATGTTTCTATACCTTGATGGCTTTTTTAAGGGGCAAACTCGAGGGGAAAAAAATCTTTGCTTGCACTCAGTGTTTAAATCACAAATCCGTGTACAGAATGATTCACACCTGCAGGGATGTTCTGTTTCAAGATTCGCCCCCTTAGGTTAATGGCAACGTGCCACACGCTGAACTGGAGGCAGTTAGATGTTGTCAGTGTGCCTGACTAAATGTATGTTGGGTTTTATCCTTGCAGACGGGAGGCACAGGAGGATTTGATTTAGCCGGATTGCTGAATAACCCGGGCTTCATGAGCATGGTAAACTTGCACCCATTCGATCCTGGCCAGCTTGTCATGTGTCTGTGTGTTGGGATGTGCGGAATGAAACGCCTTGCTGCATGACCTCGGGAGTGCTAGGTTTCATCCGCAGCTGTGTTTCCATTTCATTCGTCACAGGGTTGCTTTGAGGAGACTGAATTAAAGGGAAAGGGCCGATGACGTACCGGCTCTTCAGTGGGAGATGTGAGGGCATGATGGAGGCTCCCTGCTCTACATGACCAGCCTTGTCTTGTGCGTTGTACTGTGTGTCTCGTCTCGCTCCTCACCCTGTTCACATAGCTTTGTGGAGTTGCATGGCATGACGCGTGCATATCCCCGCCGGCACGCCTGACTAAAGAGGATGTTGTCTTTTTTTTCTTTTTAAATAGGCCTCTAACCTCATGAACAACCCACAAGTACAACAGCTGTAAGTCTGGTGCCATCTTGTATTTCGTCTTTGCAGCACTCATTTGTCTTTGTGCTTTGGTTGGCTGGGGGCTTTGGTGATAGGGCCCATTGACATGTATGAAGGCATTTAAAGCAACACATCGTGGCTGTGGTGATCATTATGGCTTAACATGCCAAAAACTTGTATAGCCCAATAGAAGAGTTAACACAGTCTGCCAGGCGTAGGGAAGTCAACTGTCTGTGTCGCTGGCGTGTCACTTCACCTCTCTCATTCCTCGTCTAGAAAAGGGGTTATTTCCCTGCCTCGCAGGAGGGTGTGTGAGGACAAATTCGTAAATGTTTGTGAGGTGCTCAGAGACTGAGGCGTGTGACTCCTCTGTCCCCTTTAAAGCATGATTGCAGTTAGAAATGGGGCGCACTTCTGCAATTCTGGGGAGGCTATAATTATTGTGACTTCCTGGTTTCATTGGCTTGGTTCACAAGCCAAAGATCTGGTGTCCCCATCTCCACTGGGTTCTTTCTGCCTCTTCCATCGTCGTCGTTAGAGGTTCTGCAGTTGGAATTCCACTGACAATTTTGTTGACAACACAAAAGGGCGTCTCTTAACTACGTTTAAAAGGCAGATCCGCAGCAGTCTGGACCCAGCGCCCCATCTGGGACTGCTTGGGTCCCGCACTGCATCTCTGCCTTTTAAATGTATTAAGAGCTGCAGTGGTCCGGACCTGACACAAGCCACTTCAGTCCCGGCTTGTGCTGTGTACTGGACCTTCCCCCGCTGCTGCTCTTCAGTCTAAATGTAGTAGGAGCTGGGCTGCTTGTATGTCTGGTTCCTTCTACGTTTGAACTGCAGAACCACAGTGGCTCCCTTTCAACTCATCATGTACTCGATACAAATTGTATCGAGTACACGATTAGTCATTTACCGGCTACTTAACATCCTTAGTTATCATAACTTGAAGACACACTGAGCAGATCTCTTCCTAAGGTGCATAAATTACAGTTAATCTGCAGCTGATTAAATTAATACCTTGTGAATTGGCGAGGTTCTGCTGTAGCTGTTTGATTGTCACAAGACGTTAAAGAGCAGAAGGCAAGGGTCAGAGGTTTCAACAAGATTTTCCTGCATGGATGACCAAGCATTCGGGGGTTGAACAGAGGAGGAGGAACAGGATGACACTTCATCCCATGAGAAACTCTGGCTCCCCCTCCACTTAAATTGAATCCCTAGCCAAATCATTTTCTCCTTAATCATGAAACTGACATGAATCGTACTAAAGTAACGGTTGTCCCTGCCCGAGAACTGGTGGGAAGTGAAATCTCCGTGTCTCCGTATTCTGAGCAATAAATGTTTTGGGTTTTTTTAGGATGTCTGGGATGATTTCAGGTGGCCAGAACCCTGTGGGAGCAGCAGGAGCCAGCCCTTCCCCCAACGACCTTGCCAGCCTTATCCAAGCGTAAGTAGAGTGGCTTTGGAATAGTCTGTAGACACATTTCAGTTGTCTTCCTGCATTTACAACTGAGCATCTTCCATAAAACTTTAGTCTTTCCCCTTGCCTTTCAGCAATATAGCCTAGCTGCTTTTCTTAGACAGAGCAGGGTCTGGCTCTTTTGCTTTTAGAATTACTCACAGGGTATGTCTAAACTACATGGCTCCGTTGACGGAGCCATGTAGTTTAGACATACCCACAGTGCCTTATGCTGCCCTGACCTTGGAGCGATCAGACAGCAGGTGTGAAAAATAGGAACAAAGCATCTGGGGCTATGAGGCACCTGTATAGGACAAAGCCCCGAAAATTGGCGCTCTCCCCGTAATGCATCTGGGGCTATGAGGCACCTGTATAGGACAAAGCCCCAAAAACTGGCGCTGTCCCCGTAAAATCGGAGCGTGGGCACCCTGCCTGACGTGGGCTGAGAGAAGCTGATTAGAGGTGTCGCTTTCTCCCCTTCAGAGGCCAACAGTTTGCTCAGCAGATGCAGCAGCAGAATCCAGAGCTAATAGAACAGTTGCGAAGTCAGATTAGGAGTCGAACCCCCAGTGCCAGCTCTGAGGATCAGCA